CAATCCTTCTATGTAGTTAGGGTGTTTGTTTAGGCGTTTTTGAGCTAACTTACAGCTTTTAACTTTAAAAAAATTATTTTGTTTGGTTAAACTTATTTCAAACTGCTTCTGATTCTAATAACTTATTTTAACTCAAAAAAGCTAATTCTGAGTGCCCACCCCTTACTTCTGATTATCAGTTTCTGCTGTGGACATGTTAATTTACGGTTATACTATTTGAATTTTTATTTTTTATTTTTTATTTTTTTTAAAAATAGAAAAAGACCCAAATGGACTATAGATTATCATTATTATTTTTTTATGAGAAATGTAGACAAGCAGTGAATAACAAAAAATAAAAGTTAATTGAAAAAGCTACTTCACGATTTATTTAACAAACACTACTCAGCAACTTCAATCTATAATCTAACAGCTACACCAAACGGATTAACAGTTTCTGATTAAAATCATAATTTATAATCTGTAAAGCTATAATCTATAATTTGTTTTAATAACTACACCGAACGGGGCTAGTGTAGAGATGAAGGTCATTGAGTAAAAGATCTTGTTCAACATCAGAGATGTTTTCTAAATTCTTGTTCCGTCAACCTACAAGGATAACAACAAACAAATTTGAATAAAAAGGAGCCGATTCTTTAATTCTACCAAGAGACTACATGTAAATAGTTGTCCACATTGCACAGCTTTGCATAGTACAGAGCAATAACTAAAGATGTCAGAACGTTTCACCTATCAGACAGGCATGGATGATAGCAGAAATAAAGAAAACCAGTCACCAAAGAGCTTCAAGCTGTTTAAGAATTTCGGTATCATTATTAATCCACGTCCTGAGAATCGCTTTACAATGTCCAAAAGCTGGAAAGCACTCAAGAATGTGCACCGTACCAAATATATCTTATTATGGAAACAAAAATGTAGAAATGATGAAAGCGGGAGGAGGTAAAAAGACTATAGAGTATTGTAGAAAGTCTTAACAAGCATTTGGTCATTGATCTAGACAGCAATCCAGATGAAAATACGAAGGAAATGAGAACGAGGTGCACACACTTGCATGCTTCGTAAGAGTATTCATTGAAGTGTACATTGAGAACAATGCATGCATTTAACAATTGTCCTCAAACGGAAGAAAAAACTAAATGACATAATAATGGCCAATATATCCCCACTTTCTTGGATTGAGAAGTGAGAATAGAGGGCTGAGATCCTTCTTATCAAAACGACGTCGTTTTGAAAAAAAATTTAGGCCTAGTTTGGTAAGACTAAATAAGTGCACTTTTTGACTTTTTATGAAATATGGGTTGGGTTTGGGTTGGGTTTGAAGTGATGTATTAGAGAGGTGATGTGACTTAAATAAGATGATGCGACTTAAATAGGATAGTGACTTTTTGACTTTTTGTCTTTTTTCAATCTTTCCAAACTAGGCCTTAATATTTTTTCCACCACGTTTCTCTTTCCATCGACTGCTCTCTCCCACTTTGCAACTTCTCACTCTCCTCTCGCCAGTGGAAGGAATTTTCTTTTTTTTTTGGACCTCAAAACGATGTCATTTTGGGGAACCAAATCTCAGCCCTAGATTCCTCTCATTTTTGAAGTGGCTCGCTCACAAAAAAACCACTACAGATTGCACTACACACTCACCACTACAGAGAATCTGCACTGCACTCGTGAGAAAGTGTTCAGATCCAATCCTTGAATTTGAACTCCACAAACACAACATCAGATTCAAACAATGGTATTCAAAATCCTACGCGGTTGGCCAATCATCCTTCTGGGATAAATTCAATTTTACTGTTTAGTTTCTTATATAGATCAAGTCATCCACTCTCATAAATTTCAAAAAAGAACCACTCGTGACTTAAGTGTGACAGTTTCTTACTCTAATTCAAACATTGAATCACTCTATACCATATGCGTTTGTTTCTAAAATTGCTGAGGTAATGATCTATTCATGTGACTCCAGAGGAGTTTAGAGGTTGTAGGCCGAAATACTGATTGTGTGAAGCATATATAACCAGTTAAAGCAGAGCAACTAAACTTAATGAATATTTGTTTTCTATAATTGATATGTTTAATTTCACTGAGAAACTAAACGAAGACACAACCCAACCCAAGTATTCACTTTTTACCCTGAATTACAATTTTCTATTCATTCATTCCCCCATTAATTCCAGCAACCAAGGGAATCAAATCAACCATGAAATTCAAACTGAAACTTGACGAACAAGACAGAAATAATTAAAGAAAGAAAAATAGAGGGTTTTTTAAATCAAACCAGATCAAAAAGAATTTGCGCAACAGCCTCTTCTCAATCGAACAGCACCGCGTTGTTCTCAAACCCAATTCAAGTCTCTCGCACCTGGTAGGAAAAAGAAGGAGAAATAGAAAATAGAGATAGATATAGAAGAACAAGTCAACCAAAGGAAAAAAGTGAATTAATTTAATAGTAGTAGTAGTAGTAGTAGTGAATAAGATTTTGAGACATAAAGTGATTGATTGAATAGCAGAGCAGAGCAGAGCAGCGACGCGAGAGAACATTTGTTTATGAATTGAATTGAAGAAGATGAAAAGACATATCACAGAGTTTGTGCGTGAATCTAACGTCATCAACCCCAAAAAAACAAAAACAAAAACAAATTTCAGGCAGAAGGGAAGGGGAAGGTTCTGTTGGATGAGAGGAGTGGGGTTAAATTCACGCACAACTCTGAAATATGCCTCTTCTTCTCATACTACGCCCATGGAGCCTTGGCTTCTGGAGAGAGGCAGAGAGATAGAGAGAAGAAAAGGAAGAAAAAGAGAGGCTATTTGTTTCAGGAGCTTTCAACCAAGCAAGTCGGCGTTAGATTGGAAGCCCTAGATTCGATTTTTATGTGGGTTCCCTTTGGGAAATCTACCCAACTTTACCTAAAACGTAAAAAAAAAAAAAAAAAAAAAACAACAACAACAACAACGGTCGTACTACGTGAATTAATCAGTAAATTAACTAATATATTAATTAGTATTATCTCATTATTATTGATTTAATTTATTATATAAATTATAAATATTTTAAAATTATGTGACATCATCTAATTAATAAATATAATATTATTCAAAAAAAATCTACTCGCTCCGTTTTAAAATAATAGTGTCTTTTAAAAAATTAAATTTTTTTTTAATAATATAATTATTACATTTAAAAAAAATTATTTTTCAAAAATACTTTTTAATAATACATTTTATAAATGATATTAATTATCATAATTATATTTTTTGTGTTAATCAAATTAAAATGATAGAATAAAAAATTTATATTATTTTTACTCTTAATTTTTAAAAAGAAATTAATATTTTAAAATTAAAAAAAATAATAATATTTTAAAAACACAACTTTCCTATTTGTGTTTTAGCGTAATCTTAACTCTAATTAACAGTAATGATAGAAACCCTACAAAAGATAACCCCTACAACTTTTAAAATGATTTTAACCATTCATATCACACAATTCTTAAAAAAAATTCAAACATATCAATAGTCAATATATCAGTAGGGTCATGAGGTCCTCCTTTGTGAGGTCTCAAACATTTTCTCTCTAAGGTTTTGTTTTGGATGTGGATTTTTTTTAATTATTTTAGTCTGGAGTTAAAAAGTCTCGTTTGAAATAAGTTTTTTGGCTTTTTTAATTTTTGTGAGAAAAAAATAAAATAATTATGATGTAGATATGATATTTTATTTTATTGAACTAAAAATTTTATTTTATCTTTTTGTGATTATTTTAATCAATAAAAAAAAAAAAAAAAAAAAAAAACCAAAAAACTAAAAAATCTTCTATGCCAAACGGAGGTTAACTAATTAGGAAGGAAGCTTTGCATTTGATTTCAACCTACCTCTTTTTGTCAGTGTAACCGTGTGCTACACGTGTCAATACACTTGGTCAGTGGAGTATTGTTTGTTTGGTAGTGTTACATATATTAATTATTAATTAGTATATTAATATTATTTATGATATTATTATTAATTTTACTCATTAAACTTTTTTTAAATGTGTAACTTACACCTTACACTTACGCCTTTCTATTTGTTGTCCTGTTTTATGTTTACACTTTCCATTTACACCTTTTGTGTTGGTTGCACATGGTGTGCAACCTTAATAGGTTGCACACCATAACAGCACCCTTATTCATTATACAAATTATAAAGAATAATAATGATTCATCTCATTAATTTGGGAGCATTAATTGACTACTAATGAGGTAAAAATTTAAAAAAAAAAAAGAAAAACAAAACATCCCATCATATGGGACCCACATCACTTTTGAGCTAGTAGTGCTCCTCTTTTTAGTGGTCTCACTAATTTTTCTTATAAAGAATAATGCTACATGTACCAATTAATATACATACTAGTGTACTAATAGATGATATGACATCGTTTGTATAGTTTTGAGTATTTGTAACTTGTATAATGAATGTGATCAATAATAATATTATAACGCTAATTGGTACACTAGTATGTATACTAATTGATACATGTAGCACCACCAAATTATAAATATCAAAAACCTCTTAAATTATGCTACATCATTAATTGATACACTAATTAGTGCATATAACAATATTCATTACCTATTTGCTAGTTTTTATTCACTCGGTTTATTTTCAATTTTCAGAATTCACTTTTAAAAAAAATTTCACTACTACAAAAACAGATAAAGATCACATTTTTTTTGTGTGATGTATGTTATTTAATCACACCTTTTAAGTTTTATTAAAGTGTGATCTTTGGGAGTGTGATTAAAAATGGTCATTTTTAATCACACTTTTTAAGTATGCTTAAAAACATTTAGATTACACATTTTAAGTATAATTAATAACATTTAGATCATATCTTTTATGTGTGATTAATAACTAATAAAATCTGTGATAAAAAAAGGGTTCAACATATTTGAAAAATAATCAATATTATTTTTTATGCTCATTTGAAAAATGTAATACACACTATATTTGAATCATAACCACATATTGAATGGAATAACGTCATATATTTTATAAATAAAAATTAAATGTTCAAAAGTATATACAAATAAATTAAATAAAAAAAATTTAACTATGCTTACATATATTAAAAAATGAAAAAACTTAAAAAACCAAATTCTTTAATTCTTTGACCATACTTTGCATCTCTTCAAGAAATTTCTGACCTGAAAAATGAAAACACAAATTAATTCAGAAACCGCAGGAACTTATGAATAAACTAACTATTTATAGAGATTATTCTAGACTTACAAAAAATACAGTCGAACTTTTTCTCATCACGCTGACTCTTCATCTCATGCTTCAATAGAAGGAGAATAACCACTTTGATTGAATAATCAATTCTCATGGAAAAAATGGACCAAATATCTTAAGATAGCTGAATATGAGCTATGACTACAGGGCAACAATGATCAGGAGGAGAAGGAACAGGGTTATGCAAACATTTTATCCGTGCCCTTGAATATAGGAAAATTTACATGTTAAAAGATTTCAACAGTTAACTCATCATCAGACATGAACATGCAGAAAACAAATTAATAGTCAGAAGAGAGTTGTCATCTCCATTTAAAAATTGATAATTATTCCAAGACATGAACATGCAGAAAACAAATTGCTCCATTTCTTAAACCACATAAAACAATCCGTCTCTGCAACAAGAGATGAGTTTATTACATTGAAATCATATAGTGATAGTCAGTTAGCCACAGACAAAGGTCATGTAATGATAATAGATAAAAAATTATCAAATAAAAAATGTAATGATAATATATAAAAGTACAGTAATGCTATTTATAAATCTTGAGATGAAGTCAACATCTACCAAGGAAAAAGTTGTTGACTTGATTATGCAAAGCCTGTTAACCGTGATGTGCAAATTCTGAATTACATATTGGTGCCACATGGAACCTAATGGAATTAAGATTTTAAAGTATGTTTTATGTCAAGTTTTCTTTAAGTTAATGTGTTGCAAATACTTTAATATGAAGTTTGTGTAACCACAGAATTCTTAACTAGACCGAACCAAAAAAAAAGAAAGGGTGATCCACGTAGTAATCCAAAAAAATAAGGAACCAGACGTGAAAATAGACAATTTAGAAACATTTGTATGGAATCTTAAATGTGGATAATTACCAAATGATCAAGTTGTAGTGACAAAACATTACTTTTACAATGAAACACCCATGATTGCACACCAGTTTCCAGATTTACCAAGGCAGCTCCAAGATCGGTGCCTATACCAACCAAAAGTAAGAACAAAACAAACAGGAACAAAACATGAAATATTAGTCATTTAACACAGTCCTGATTGTCATTTTCAATAGGGCCACAACCTGTTAATGTCATTACTACTTGTGAACTAATAAAGCATGCTAATAAAGGTAAAACAAAACCTATAGTAAAAATAATAATAAATAGATGAAAGTGCAGAGCTCAAACAGGAGTCTTTTAGCTAGGAATGAACACGTAAATCTTGGCTAATTTAAACCCACCACCCATGCCAAATGAACTTTGACATGGGTTTCCAGTGCAGGGATAAAAAATTTAATCCTACATGACAAAATTTTCAGAACAGTGTAATTATATAAATCATTTTGTGTTTTATGATTTGTAGCAGGTTCAAAATATCTAAATATAAACTAGTACAATGGCTAACATTTTTCAGAGGCCCTTTTATTAACCAATTTTAAAATATATTCGATATTTTTAGTACTTCAGATCATTGTATACTATTATCAAAGGGAGATTTGTAATAATTTTGCATAACATTGGAATATAATTATTAATTAAGATAAATACAAAAATAATTGTTCAATACTTTATTTACTTTTTAAAACATATATATATATATATAGTGAGATTGAAATAGTTTATCACACATCCACAAAATTTATCCCAGATCCATCAAAAAATAAGAACTAAGAAAATATAATGATACTAAAGTCAGATTTCAACAATTAAACTAAAAAATAAGTTGCATAAAACACTTTTTTAAGTGTGAAATAGAAAAACAAAGATGAAATCTAAACAAGTTTTGAGAAGAATATATGTGGTTTACCCAACTTGAAAGAAAGGTTGAAGAGTGCAGTCCAACTTTAATAGGGGGCTTTAATATATATTAAAATAAAAATAAAAATGGGGGACACTTTCCTAGCTCTTTCCTAACTCTGAAAAAGGCCTCTTCCCAAATTTGATTGTCCTGTTAACCAGGATAAATCACCACCAGTGTGCCCACTTCTTTCATGGCATCATCCAATTTTGAATATATAATAACTGAGAATAAAGAAAACAAAAGCAGATTGGACCTATACTTAAACCCCATCTGAATTTGTTTTGATCCATCACAGTCCTTCCTAAACAAAGAAAATGAATATTAAAGACAATGACAAACAATTTGAGAAATGAATAATGGAGAAATTCATGACCAAATAGTATTTGATATATACATTTACAATATTATAGTATAACGTTTTCTTGAGATTGACCCATGTTTTACATCAACAAACTAACAAGCAGCCAACCAACCATTCCACAAAAATGATTATAAAAGAAAGGACAATATTTCAGCTATACTTCATATCCTAATCCACGCAAATTCTATTTACAATGAAGTTAATGTGGAATGAGATATAAAAAATAAAAATAATAAAATAAAAAAAATGAATTTGAGTGAAGAAAGATTAGTTTAACTTTTCAATCTTGGTGCCTGTAAATAGAAAAAACCTCAACATCCCCGTGACGCGAGCAATATGGGCTTTGAGTCAGGCAATTGTCGCGAATAAGGGCAAGATTGCATTCAGACAATTCCTAGCTAGACAATCCATTAAGCTGCAAGGAGATAAGATATGCCACTGATAGAAGGCTTAAAGGAAGTTTGAAGGCTTAGAGGAAGTGAACAGCAACATTAGCTAGTATACCAAATTACAATCACAATACTACTCAATTCATCGAATCAACAATACTTGAGGCACTACTACCAAAATGTTGAGAGAGCAATAATAACCAAAGATCATACGATATCTAATAAGCAATTACACAATCAACACAACAAAAAAAATGTCTGATTTGACTCGGTTCTCTCCTAAATACTTGTTCACCAAAAATCGATACACAATTCTCTCTACGTTTGACTCAGATGCACCTATTCAAATCAAAATCAAGACCAAAAAAATGCAGCTAGATCCAGAGATCAAATCAATAAACAAAAGCATCAAATTTCAACATCGCTACAATATATCATTGATTCTGAAATCAATCAACTCACAATATTGCCGAGAGCAACGACATTGAGGAAAGTGGAAGGGCGGCGCGAGGACGATGAGTTTTCGTCAACATCTTTGTCGGCAAGCAAAGCAAATGCCTGGCGCATCGAATCGGCGACCTGAGCGAATTCGTCGATCGCGTCCATTGACTCGATGAATCAAAGAACTCGATTTAAGAGAGAGAGAGAGAGAGATGATCAGATCGAAGGAGGAGGAGATATCGATATGTATGTAGAGAGAGAAAGAAACCCTAGGTTGATACAAGATGAAAATGATGATGGAGAGAGATCCACCGATGATATTTGTGTTGTTGGGTAGTAGGCACTAATTTATCGATTATACTACGTAGCTTGAATGTCGCAGTTCGAACCGCGGTTGGGTATTAACACGATGTCGTTTTGGTATTGATTTTGTGTTTTTTTTTCTTTTTTTTTTTCTTTTTTTTTTTCTTTCTTGGTTTTGCAGAACGAAGAAGAAGGAGAAGAAGGGAGAAGAAGAGAAAGGAGGAGGAGGAGGGAGGGGAGGGGGCCATAAAAACCGATTTGAGGAGGAGGGGAGGCTGGGTAGACGACGGTGGTGCTGCGACATCGGCGGGGCTACGACGGAGGAGGAAGCAGAGGCGGCGGCGGGAGCTACGACGACGGCGGGAGCTGCGACGACGGCGGGGCGCGGAGCTGCGACGCCGACCTTCTTCCTCTCCCTCCCTTCTCTTTCTCCTCTCCCTCTCTTTCTCTCCCTCTCCCTCTCCCTCTCTTCCTCTCGAGCCATTTTCGAGCTTGGTAGCTTCGAGCTACCAGGCATTTTCCCTAATTTATTAGGAAAAAAAATTATATGAGAAAAAAAAACGGTGAGATAAAATTAATGTTAAAAATTATTAATTAAAAGTAAGTTCTTTTTTTTAAATAAAAAAATGAATGCTATAAAAAATTAATAATGCTATGATGTGGCATAATTTTAAAAATTTTAGATATTTATAATTTGTATAATGGATGAGGTCAGTAATAATAACATAATGTATGTTGATACCTTAGTTGGTATATCGATTGGTGCATCACCGATAAAAAAATAGTTCATATTTATGTGTGTAGCTTTTTTAGTAATTTTTTAGATCAGTTTTAATTTTTTTTTCTAAAACTATAAATATACCCAAAAAAGTCTAAAAAAATTATAGCAAAATTATATAGAGAGAGAGAGGGGTTTGAAGCAAAAACATGTACAGATAGAATGAGAGAGAGAGAGAGTGGTGAACGAAGCCTTAAAATCATGTTTTTGAGTTTTTTTTATTTTAGTTATTGTAAGTTTTTAAATGTTTTAAATATATATTTTTTTACATTTTAAGTTGAAAAAATTTACATATATTTAGAAGGAAAATATTTTTTTCTTTTCTAAAAAAAGACTAAATTCAAAAAAATATAAAATTTAATACATTTCACATGTATTATATTTTTTTATAAATATTTTACTTTTTAGCTGTATCCAGATTAGGCACATCTAAAATGTAAAATATAAATAAATTATTAAAGAAGTGAAAATATCAAATCAAGGTAATTTAAAAAAAAAAATAATTACAAATTAGTGAGAAGTACTATAAATATTAATAATTTAAATTATAAACTTTTTCATAAATATGTAATTTTTTTTCCCCAAAATTCCACTAGGTGCAATTATCCCTTAAAAGATGACACTAAATTATAAAATAATGTATAAATTATTTTTAAGTTGTCCTCAATTAGGAAAATTTAAGGTGAGAAGCTTAGTAAGAAATTGTTAGTTACTTTAAATCAAAAAAAAAAAAAAATTTGGATTGAAATTTTTTTTAATAAAAGTTTTCACAACATGCTAATGCATGCCATGTAAAGTTATAATATTTTATGACATGGAATGTATCTCGTCTTAAGCATTAATATTTTACAACATACTTTTGTATGCTATAAAAATATGCATTTTTACGGCATGTTTTTGCATGCCATAAAAAAAATCGGATTGAATTTTTTTTTTAGTAGAAGTTTTCATGGCATGCTAATGCATGCCGTGTAAAGTTATAATATTTTGCAACATGAAATGTATGTCGTCTTAAGTGCAAATATTTTACGACATATTTTTTAAGTCGTGAAAATATACATTTTTTACGGCATACTTTTGTATACCACAAATATATGAATTAACAACTTACATGGTATGTATGTCGTTATTGAAAAACCATTAACGGCTTGCAAAAAAAAAATGTCGTAAAATGTTCTAATTACGACATACATTTGATGTATGTCGTAAAGTTAAAGCTGTAAATAGTTAGTTTTATTATAGTGCATAAAGTCGTAAATAGTTAGTTTTGTTGTAGTGCCATCTCTCTCTCTCTCTCTTTCTCTCTCTCTCTTGTGTGCCTTGTGATGAACCTTAGCTTTCTACTTTCTTTTTTATTAGAAGTAGCCAAAAAGTTAAATGAATTTTGAATTTTTTTAAAAAAATTTGTGTTTTGGTGTTGGGGCTTTTTTTTTAAAAAAAAATGGGAATTGTATATTTTATATAAAAATCAAATTGGAATATTTTATACAATCACACCTATTTAGGGAGTGTGATTAAATATATATATAATCACACTTACTTAAAAAGTGTGATTAAAAAGTAGTAATGTATATATAATCACACTTTCATTAGAAGGTGTGATTAAAAAATATATGAATAATCACACTTTAATTAGAATGTGTGATTAAAATATATATATATATATATATATAATCACACTCATTTAAAAGGTGTGATTAAAAAGTAATAGTGTATATATAATCACACTTTAATTAGAAGGTGTGATTAAATATATATATATATATATAATCACACTTAATTAAAAAGTGACATAAAAAATAAATATTATCACACTCAATCAGTGAGTCATCTCTATCATTCATGGGTAGAATAGAGGCGCGGATTTGGGAATTGTATATTTTATATAAAAATCAAATTGAAATATTTTATACAATCACACCTATTTAGGGAGTAATGTGTGATTAAAAAATATATATATAATCACACTTATTTAAAAAGTGTGATTAAAAAGTAGTAGTGTATATATAATCACACTTTAATTAGAAGGTGTGATTAAAAAATATATAAATAATCACACTTTAATTAGAATGTGTGATTAAAATATACATATATATAATCACACTTATTTAAAAAGTGTGATTAAAAAGTAATAGTGCATATGTAATCACACTTTAATTAGAAGGTGTGATTAAAAAAATGTATATATAATCACACTTAATTGAAAAGTGACATAAAATATAAATATTTTACGGCATGTTTTTGCATGCCATAAAAAAAATCGGATTGAATTTTTTTTTTAGTAGAAGTTTTCATGGCATGCTAATGCATGCCGTGTAAAGTTATAATATTTTGCAACATGAAATGTATGTCGTCTTAAGTGCAAATATTTTACGACATATTTTTTAAGTCGTGAAAATATACATTTTTTACGGCATACTTTTGTATACCACAAATATATGAATTAACAACGTACATGGTATGTATGTCGTTATTGAAAAACCATTAACGGCTTGCAAAAAAAAAATGTCGTAAAATGTACTAATTAAGACATACATTTGATGTATGTCGTAAAGTTAAAGCTGTAAATAGTTAGTTTTATTATAGTGCATAAAGTCGTAAATAGTTAGTTTTGTTGTAGTGCCATCTCTCTCTCTCTCTCTTTCTCTCTCTCTCTTGTGTGCCTTGTGATGAACCTTAGCTTTCTACTTTCTTTTTTATTAGAAGTAGCCAAAAAGTTAAATGAATTTTGAATTTTTTTAAAAAAATTTGTGTTTTGGTGTTGGGGCTTTTTTTTTAAAAAAAAATGGGAATTGTATATTTTATATAAAAATCAAATTGGAATATTTTATACAATCACACCTATTTAGGGAGTGTGATTAAATATATATATAATCACACTTACTTAAAAAGTGTGATTAAAAAGTAGTAATGTATATATAATCACACTTTCATTAGAAGGTGTGATTAAAAAATATATGAATAATCACACTTTAATTAGAATGTGTGATTAAAATATATATATATATATATATAATCATTAAAAAGTAATAGTGTATATATAATCACACTTTAATTAGAAGGTGTGATTAAATATATATATATATATATATATAATCACACTTAATTAAAAAGTGACATAAAAAATAAATATTATCACACTCAATCAAATTAAGTGTGATTAAATATCAATTTAATTTTTTTTATCACACTTCCAAAAAAAGTGAGATATTTTTTTTTTGTCAAAGTGTGATCTTTAACTATTTTTGTAGTAGTGTTTACTTTTTCATTTTCTTTTTTTTTTTTTATTTTCACTGAATTTTTTAATATTTTCAATATCTTTTTTTTAATTTTTCGACATACCTAACATAAATATACTTAAAAAGTATAATATTTGTAAAAAAAATCTTTAAAAAATTTACTAAAGATCAAAAATACAAAAAAAATGAAAATTCAATACATTTTTTTATATTTTTGTGTATTTTTAATTTTTTTAAAAATACTTTTTCAGAAATAATTTACTATTTAGATACATCTAAGTAAGATACATCTAAAAAAGTAAAAAAAAAATTACTTAAAATTTTAAAAATATTCACCAAAAATAAAAAAAAAACACAAAAAATTAAAAAATTAATTTTCAAAAAATTAAATTCAAAAAACTAAAACCAAACATACTAATTATTATTATTTATTTACTTTGTTTTTAATATTTTTTTATGAAAAATTTAAATTTTAAATTCAGCTTGAAAACAAATATATAAAAAAAAAAAGAACTTTAGAAAAGGCGCGCGAAAAAAAGAAAAAAAAAAGAAAGTAAACTCTTTGATTTATTTGACTTTTTTTTAATTATTTTTACATATTAAGTTCGTCTATACAAGGCGGATTGAAAAAGTAAAATAATTGAAAATTTTAATTAAAATCCCTCTATTAAATCCTTAGTTAGTGAAAATGACAACTTAATTTATTTTGTTTCATAAATTTTTTAAGGAAGAGGTGCATAATTGAATAAAGACAGAATAAAATTTATAATCTATATAATAAGTTATAAAGGTTTTTGAAAAATGTATCAAAATGTATATAAGATACATTTTGATCCAATGGCTGAGATTAATCCCAAGTATATATCAATGGTTTAGATCAATGGTTTATATCAAAATGTATCAAAGGTTTCCCGCCCAACACATTTCTGTGTCTCCCCCATACCCTCTGTCTCCCCATACCCTCTGTCTTCTTCCCATACCCTCTATCTACCTTCCCATTCCTACTGCTGCAGAGTTGAGAA